TAAGACATTTTGTAGGATTTTTTTTTTTTTTTTTGTCTGATCAAACATTCAGAAAAATCGTAACATTACATTCGTAAATCTGAATCAGCTCCTTGGAAATGTTTTAAAATATCACTACCACAAGTCTAATTAATCATATTGCTCTGGAATCAGTCGTAAAATTGTCATTATGCCTTACGAGCTTTTATTCAAAGTGACAGTTTTTATTTTAAAAGTACATTCTGTAAATGCCTGCTTCCCATTGGCTTTGGCTATAATGAAATTCCATTCAAGGCAAATCATATTCAAGGCTGACACATGCTTCTATTTAACTTGCCATCAGTGCTGAAAGTTCTCCAGAAGTGACATTACAAATATGAATTTGCACTGCTCTGAGCAATAACGCAGCCATGAGTTTCCAAATGCAGGTTTGCATTGGGTTGAGTGAAGCAAATATTGTTTTGCATTCTTGTCCTTTGGACGCTTATTGTTTTACATTTACATTTCAGACAAGAGAATCACATGTCTGGGTCATATTTCACATCAAAATCAGAGAAAAAAAATATTTTGCATTAAAAATAAAGCCTATTTCTTTGGGGGATAAATTGACTAATTTATTCATTTAGCATTTGAATGTTTTCTTCATGATAATTAAGTCAATAAGTCAAGTTCTAATGAAATTTTCATTAATGTAAAGTGAAAAATTCTCATTTTAATGAAAATCATCCTATTTGGAAACAATATTTAAAAAATCTGTATAAATAATAATAAACTACCATGATGTATTCTTGTGTGATTTTTTTCCTGCTAAATTATGAAGATTATGAAACAATTGAAAATAAATTATTCTTCTTATGATGATTCTCCTATGGGCAAATATTTATTTAAAATATAAATCTAATAAAACTGTTTATAATTTTGCTTATTTTAAGAATGGTTAGATGTGGAAAATGAGGAAAATATTAATAAAAGTTTAAATAAAAATGATTATGAAAATAATTACTAAGAAATGCAATAAAAATAGGCTATATTTTATTTTATGCAAAATATTTATTTTTCTTTTGATGTTGGTGTGAAAAACATTTCCTGACAGTTTTTTTTGTGTGAAATTAATTCATCTATTATTGCAGCTTGCTATCATACAAAATAATTGCTGACTCAACCAAGTGAATCACAGTAAAAAACAAACAAAAAAAAAACACCATTCATAATTCCAATTAATTACATAATTCCTCAGATATTCAGCAATTCTGTATTTCAATTCATGTCCATGCCAAAGTTCATACATTTTGTAATCTAAAAGGGATCAGACTGATGTAGTTTTTTGTTTTTAATGTCCATCTCTGAAATATTTAAGACAAAAAGAACAGTTGTGCAAAGACAAACTTGCGTAACTCAAGCATGGTGAGATGAAACACGAGGTGACTTGGTGACTGTGTGACTTTAAAAGCAAAGAATTGTGGATAAGTCGCTTAGGTGGCTGAGAACCTCGTATTGTAAATCTACACCGCCATTCTTCCTGTCCAGTTCATCTTTTTACATTCAAAGATAAAAAAGCAAGATGTCAATTGATGTAACAAGTCAGCTCTTAATTCTGACGTATATTACAAAACATAAAAATACACAGAAACAAACTTCCTTTTCCACCTATTCTCATGTCGTATTCCAGAGGAATTAAAATGTCCATTCACTCAAAAGGTTTCTTTTGGCAATTTTTAAGCTCACCTTTTCTCATTTTTATCTATTCTTTTTCTTTTGAAACATTCCTTGTCCTATCCCTTTCCTGACCCAGATCCCAAAGTTCGATTTAGCGTCTCCATTATCGTCTCAGCAGTAGAGTCGCGAGTAACAGAACCAGTAAGATGACGGAAGGCTGAATCTGGTTCCCGGATCCTTTGACTCTTTTGTTTTCAGGGACATAGGCGTAGAGTTTAGGCCTGTCCGTTTTCGGCCCAAAGACTGGAGGTCTACCACGGACGCACAGGTGGTCTGCACACATGCCGCTTCCTGAGCCACTAAAATCATCACCTAGAAACACATCATGGAAAAAACATGATGATTACTTTGGTGCAAAACAGGTCACAGAAGTAATGGTTGCTATGCAATATCTAATTTACATGAAATTGCAGCATACTTAAGGAGACAAAATCACTATTGCAAATTGCAAGACCATTCAGCCCTAAAACAGTGCTAAATTTAGCATCACTGAGCCTCATTCATGTAACAGTAGTAAATCAGACTTAACTAGTGAACTGAATAAATTCAGTTGATGCTGAATGATTTACACAAATTTGTTCTCGTTTCATGAAGCCAATTGAATAATTATCATGTCTTTTATTTTTAGTTAGCTCTTTAGCATTTTTAGCCGCTTACTTGTGTCTTGGAAATCTACATCGTTGCCATTGAGTGCGTTTTTCAGGCGGTTTGACATGATCTTCAGCAGCATGATCTGTTGACGTATAGTCCTGTCGGGCTTGGTGATGTCGATCTCTACCTCTGGGTTATTAATCTGATTGGCCAGCCCATCGCCCATGACCTCTGGGAGGTAACTGCAGAAAAATAGATTTTCCAGAACCATTTCAATCACGCACATTTTGTAAATAGCTCTTGTATTACATTTTTCACAATTAACGACCTTGCACTGAAATAAAAACCAAGCTTGTACATCAATAATACAAACTCGATGGTAGCACGTCAAGCTTTGCAAAACTTGCTGCTACAATACGAAGTGGTTTTTAGCACATTTCTAAGGTGCTCTGATTGGTTTTTAGCATGTTGCAAAACAGTTTGATTGTTTTTTAATGCGTTGCTGTGTGGTTGCTAGGGTCTAGTTCAAGGTCTAGGTGGTTGCAATGCAATGGCTTTAGCAGTTAGCATATTGTTATGGTATTCTGAGTGATTTGCTATGTGGTTGCTAGGGTGTTTTAGCTGTATGTCGTCAAGTCTCTGATATTCTAGTCTTTAGATTTGGCTCAAGTCCTTCCTTAAATGGAAGTCTGTAGGGCTTTGTTTTCATTGTCTGTATATGGACCGTAATTGAGCAATAGTAATAAGGATGTTTGTGTTAGCAAACACCACTAATCACATACCAGTATGCATTAATTGCCCCCATGAGATTGCCAGTTTAGTTATACGGAGCTAAAAGGTATTAGTGCTGACTAAAAATAAAGTTCTGTGGTACAAATGAAGATGTAAACCTCATCCAGTGATTAATCACTTCTGATGACTTTGGGCAATGGGAGTTCAGTTCTGTGGCAGTGATAGCTAAACAATCAATTTAATGACTTTGGCCGCAAAAAGAGAGACGGATGCAGTTTTCAGACGTCTGCCAGCACTGAACATGAGTAACGATCTATAAATTCATAATGTGTGTACATCTCAAAAGTCATTCATGAAAATCCTGCACAACTATTTAGCCTTGAAAAGCACATAAATTGATTGATTATATAAAAATTATCCCCAAATTACACATTCTGACCAGTTGAATGGACACCTCTCATCGTAGAGTGAAAAGATTTTATATTTTCTATAAAAATGTAATACCTGGCTTTTGTGATGCCATTCCAGCATTTGTCACTGCTGGTTGAAGATGCCGTTTTACCGCTGCACAGAGCCGAAGGGAGTTGAATCCAGTAAAACTGCATTTCCTTCAGTTTACTGGACACGTCTGTGACCTGGGAATTGCACACACACTTCAATAACATTGTACAAAACTCATAAAAGTTGGCCAAAAGTGGATACTGCCACACATGCACACACCTGCACCTCCAGTCTTGCTGCAGATTTGGGGCTGGGTTTGTATTCCAGGACAGTAACTGTACTTCCTTTCTTTTTCGGCTCCTCAGATATTGAACTCGGTGTTCCTTCCTCACCACGGTCCCCACAGGCCTTGAAAACCTGAAATGCAACACAAACTTCTGTGTATAGTTGTATAAACGGTCCTTACGTGATCAATAAATCTTTAAACTGTTTAAACTGACACCTCACGTGCATCTGAATCGAACCTACTCGCACAAGTTTAAAATAGATGCTTATTTCAATGTCCTAACCTTGCTGGTATAGATCTCCATGTTCTCCTGCATGGCGAGAACAGCCTCTGAGATTCTCACAGGAATTGAATAGATCACCGTGTCCATACTGGGCTCGGCACCAAAACTGGAGGCCACCTGTAGCATGGTTTCTGAGGAAAAGAGAGTGTGTGAATAAATTACCAGTGTTAAGTAAGTTTCATGTCAAGGCCGAAACCGAAATACTGTATTCAGCAAAGTGACAGCTCTCCTCAGTGTGATGCAACAAAAACAGAAATCAAGCAACCAACAAAAGAGTAAGAGTTTGTGTGGTATAATCTCTGCTTTACCTATAAAGCTCTGCCACTCAGTGTCCAGGTCAGCCTGATTAGCCAGGCAGCCCTTCATGACGTTCTTGCAGTAGTTGACACAAGGTTTGATTGATCCCAGCCCTCGGCAATGAGGGCAGTACACCAGTTTCATAATGGCACGATTACACTCCAGGCTCAAAGGAACCTGTGGGAAAAGTGACCATTAAGCATTTATCTATGAGCTAACACTATTGTGAGCAAGGCAATTAACACAGCATCACTTCAGGAGAACTCTTCCTGTAATAAAAGCACTGCAAGTCCTTTTAGCGTAAGCTGAACAATTTTGTTTTTAATTTCCATGAACGTTGGTAAAGATAAATGAGCTAGCTTGATTTTCTTTATTGACTCCAGCTAAGCATGTTATCTGCACGTGGATTCAGGTAATCTATTATGTAAGAAAAACTTTGCAGTAACTTTAATGTCTTTTGGGAAACCAAGTTTGGAAGGTAGAGTAATCATGCTGTATATTAGCCGAAGGCAACTTCAATTTAATCGTTTTTAATTACGGCTGCGACCGTGCGTGAACCTGGCACTCATGCTACTAATTCAAACTTGCAAACAGCTACTAAATGCATTCATGTTTAATTCTAATCCCTTGGAATGTGCCATGCAGTGGATTCGGCTTTTACATATAAAAACATAAGACCACTTAAACAAGACACGCAATATTCCGAACTGATATATTCCCAACATCAGCAAGAATTTAGGTCTGCTTAGCAGGAATCTCGAGGGAGTTTGGCACCAGGAGACTGAATCCAATTCTGTAAGAAATCCCTTAAAGAATGGAGAGGTACCATTGCGCCCTACTTTCATTTGTCAAAGCAGCAGGGAGTTCTAAGGAAGGGTAGGGTAGCCACTAAGGACTTGGACTAATTTTCCATGTGTGGGTTTGGGGCAAACATCTTCGGGAATGCTGCAGTGTAGGCATTTGTCTTGATGTCATGGATCTAGTACTGATGAATTTGGGAGTATCTGTTGATTGACTTTCTAGGTACTAGGGCACTCAAAGGTACTGCTCCCTTTTAGTGCAACCAGACCACCTACACAGAGTATGGCACTCAAGGGTATGTATGGTTTTATACATTTAGGCACATAAAATCAATGAACAACATATTTGAGTTTAAGCCATATATAGTCTTTGGTGTCCTTGGACTCTCTCACAATTGCACAGTGTTACACCATGGATTCAATGATTCATTGAAGAGTTTTTCCCATTGCCATATGACTCTAATGTCAAATACACCTGTCTCTAAGAGAATACACACTTCATTTCCAAGGAAACACCCTACCGCAGAACCCAAGGATCATAAGCAGATCTGAGGCAAGATTCTTGAAAAATACCAGTCAGGGCAAGGATATAATTCATATTAAATACACCTGGAGTCTCTGTGAGGTTTGTCATTATAAAGGTGAGAAAATATGGAACAACTGCGCATCTGCAAAGAATTGAACTTCTGCCAGAACTGGGTGTCTGGAAAAGAAGAGGTTGGCAATGCTAAAGAGTTCCAGTCCTATATAACATAGATGAGAGACACTGTCGTGAGGCAATAATAGTGCTTCAAGAGCAAGAACACTTCATAAATCTGGCTCATAAGGAAGGTGGAAGAAGGAAGACTTTATCACTTTGCTGGTGTTTGCCCAAAAGGCATGTCATAGACTTGGAGGAGAATCCCTGGTCTGATGAATGATCGTTTAGATTAGATTTTTCCGTACATTTCTGCCATATGTACATTAACTGACAGTCACCACTGATAAGCTACCACTAAATATTGTAGAAACTTAATTTGCTGTAAAGTTGCTTTGCAATGATTTGTATCGTGAAAAGCGCTGTACAAATAAACTTGAATTGATGAAACCTTAACTGAACTTTAAGACTTTGATGTGAAGCGCTATATTTGATGCAAAACTTAACCCAGGAGTTCACACTAGAATACTCATTTGGAAATATCAATGTCAGTAGAGTTTCTGGAGCAAAATATGCTATGATCTGCATTGCAAGAGCATTGAGGATTATTGGCAGACGAGTCATATTTTAACAAGACAAAGATGTAAAAGACAATTGGTGAGTCTTAAAATCAAGAAAATTAGAGCTCAGTTCAGTTGAGCACCTTTGAAATTTTGCTCCCAAATGGACCCAATCCTATTTGAAGGAACTTTTGCCAAGAAGATGCCAATGCTGGTAGGGACTGGAAATATTGCCAAACAATACTACATAAGTGTAGGGGTTTTATTTATAACTTATTTAGTAGAACGCTTGTTTTTAACTTTCATGCACGAATGCTACCAGTCACCCTTGAGCACCCTGGGATTAATTGCTTTGCTCAAGGGTAGTACGGTCTTGGCACACGGCATGTTTCCTTCCGTTACCAGCCCTGAGCCTTAACCACTACATCACACCCATCCTAAATCTAATTAGGGTCAGGAAATTGAACAACTGCATCAAAATCTCTTATCATTACTGCGATCATTACTCTTATCATTATATTGTTTATCACGCACTGCAGTAAAAGGCCATAAAAACCCACTGTAATTGCCCTGTGAGGACCACTCATTGTGAAAGCATATGAGCTTTAGAGTTTTCCTTTTATCTAAACTCACAATGACACAAACCAGGAGAGAGTTTGGGCTTCAAAGTGCTGCAACTCTTTAACCCTTCACATTCATTAACCCTGAAGCTGTTAAATCCGCAGACGGGTAAAGGAAAAATGTTAACTAAAAGCAGATGAAGTTTCATAAAATACCACTCTGGATAAGACAGCTGTCCGTGACAGTACAAGTACACTGTAAAACCTCTAAATCTCATTTCCTCTGCGAGTTTCTGCAGTTGCTACTCTGTTCTTCTTCAGCTTTACACTTTGGGTGGAGAAATGACAACTTAAACGTTTGGGTTATTTGAAAATCCTCTTACTAACATTACAGTGGAAAAATTGAACAGGCGTGTTAGCAGCTGTGAGACATAATACATAAAAACCCAACCAACTACAAGACTGAATGCATTTGAGTTTTGGACTCACTGTCGAAGGTCCTGTACTGGGCATTCAGCGAGGCTTGAATGGAACGTCCCGCTTCCCTAACCAGGCCTTCAAACTCCCGGCGGCTCAGATTCGACAGCGTCTCCTCCATGGCACTGGTGCAGCAGGTGTAACCTTGTGGGCAGATGCGGAGATGCTCACCTGCAAATTCAATTGAAAGATAATACGATTTAAGTAGAGTTTTTAACCTGCCTTTAAATGGCAGCAAAGATGCCAATTACTCCAATAACATCATATATCAAGCTCCATAGTTGTAAACTTAGACTGATGCCTGAAAAGGTGAAACATGATGTCATACTTCCATGAAAAGCATAAACAAAGACAGATGGATCTCACACAGTGTTCTGTAAATGTCTGTAATGTGTGAGAGACTCATATATATATATTACAGTATGCAATTCTGCTGTTCATCAACACAGAAAATCTTAGGAGGTCATTTGAATATACAAAGTATTATATTAAAAAGTGATCAAATTCATAATTTTACTAGATTCTAATTTGGATGGTCTTTGTTTATCCGAGACATGGCTTCATGAAAATTCCGTCAGCAGCATTAGAAGAACCTGATTTTAAACTGTATAGGAAAGATAGAGTTGGTTCTAAGGGGGGTGGAGTTATGATTTATGTGAAAACTGGCATCCAGTGTAATGAAATCGCTTGGTCAAATTGCATGGATTTGGAATGTATTGGTCTGAATCTTATTCAACCTCCCTCTTCTAATACTAGTTTTTATGAAAACTTGAAACAATTACTAAAACTGTGTGATTTTGTTGAAAGAGGTTATTATTATGAAAGATTTTAAAGGGCTCATATGATGCTATTTTAAAGATCATTATTTTATGTATCTGGTGTAACAGAATATGTTGACATGCTGTCTTTGCAACTTTACAGATCTTCTTTATGCACCAAGAGCTTGTAACACTTCAAAGAGAAAGGAAAAATTTAAATTGCATCATATGACTCCTTTAATATTAATTGGGATGACAAAACATTTAGAAAGAGTCTCAAACAGATATATGATCATTTCGATCTGAAGCAACTGATTAATGGGCCTACAATAATAACTAATTCAACAAGGACTCAAATTGATTTAATTTTTAGTAACCAAGCAGAGATCATTTTTTTAACACTTTTAATATGTTAAAGGGGTCATATGATGTTGCTAAAAAGAACATTATTTTGTGTATTTGGTGTAATGAAATGTGTTTATGAGGTTTAAGGTTCAAAAAACACATTATTTTCCACATACTCTGTACATTATTGTTTCTCCTCTATGCCCCGCCTTTCTGAAACGCGTC